TTTAAAGGCAATATTTATTTTTTAAAATCATAAAGGAATCAAGATGGAATATTAGAAACAAAAAGAATAATGTAAATTTATTTTTTTATTAGGAGTGAGAAATTACCTTATTGGCATTAGGTACCAGCTCCTGCAAAGACTTCATTCTCTCTGCAATTCTCTCTCTCCGTAACTGCTCACATCCAAAATTTCGGAGCCCACAAAACAAAACAAATCAGAAACAACACAAAAATAGCCATCAAAAATGCTAACTCACTCGTCACAAAAAAAGTTAAAGTAAAAATAACTGCAATGGAAGGCGAGTACTGAAAAAACGAGTGCGAGTACGTACTCTTTCAGCAATGCTGTGAGGATCAGTTGCTTGTCCTCTACGAGCCCTAACTTTCTGTTGCTTTGGCTGCGCTCCACCAGCTGAACCACTCGCCGCCGGCGTTTGATTCATCGATAACGACGCCGCCGGAGCTCCGAAACTCTGGGCCTATATTTTCACAGAACATAAATCAATCGCCATAACTTATTATACGCAATAAACTCCGATTGAACAAAAAAAAAACTATATAGATTAGCGAAAAAATTATATCATAGATCTCTGTAATTGATACTGAAATATATGAGTTAGCGTCTGTATCTAAATGTATATATAGCAATTGATTTATTGTCGAAACTCTGATTCTATATTTTCACAGTACATCGATCGCCGGTAAATTACTCTGTATAAACTCTGGTTATACATGAATGCAATGCATTCAGAGAAAAATAAAACAGTATAACAGATGTTTTCGATAAATTAGAGGGAAAAAAACTACTATTCCATATGATCTCTGTAATCGATTGAAATTTATGAAATAGTGTGTGTATGCAGACCTGAGAATGGTGAAAATGCTGAGATTGATTAGAGGTTTGACCAAGAGATCCAGCGAATCCATTGTAAAGAGCTTGAACTGAAATATCATTCCCCTATATATAATCAATTCGTCAATCTACTATAATTCAGATAATTATAATCATAAACTTGATTAAACTGTCACTCAATTGAGTTTTTGGTAATTAATTTTGATTGATTAATCACTGTACTGAACTGAATTTTATGGTAAATGAATCTCACCGAATTCAAACCGTCGTCGTTTTGATCGCCGTTTATCCCAGAGCCGCCATTACCAGCGATTCCTCTGGAAAGCAAAAGCTGCTGCTGAAGCATCAACGCTTTAGCAGCTGCAGCAGCAGAGGTACCGCCGTTGATCTGATGCTGCCGGAGTTTGGAAGCCAGAAGAGTTGACTGATGGTCGTCGAAATTGTAGGGGTGACCGTCGCCGGAGATTTCTGGCCAGGGAGAAGAAGAAGGAACGGAAGAGAGAATCTGTTGGAGGAAGTCGTCGTGAGACGACGACGGATCGAAATGGGAATGACTCATGTGTTCGCCGGACGAAGCACCATTTTCGCCGGTGCTTTGAAATGAGTTCATAGCTTGCATTGTTTTTGACTCATGAGTTTGGTGCTGAAAGTTGTTTATATAGGTTGCAACCCACCCCACCCCTCAAGGTACCAAAACCCTACCATTAATAACAAATTGACATATTTTTAGAGAGTAATATAAATTAAAGAGATTTATCCAATTTCTAATAATTTGTGTTCGGATCAGTTTAATTGTATCTCGATTAATTTTATGGGTGATTACTCTTTTTCACCGATACAAGTAATGATGTATCCGATCTATATATCCCCAATGTTTAAATTGATGTTAGCAATTTCAAGAACAATAACTATCAAGTAATGTAAAATTCGATAATTTTATCTTGAACTTGTAGGATCCGTTTCACCAAAGATTTCCCAAGTTATATTTGTGGGATAATTTGGCAAAACTAATTTTTTAATATTTGGCTCAAATCTCATTATTCGAGATCTTTTAAAAATTAAAATTTTACACCAATTTTTTATCTTTTACAAAAACACATTCTATAATAGTTGTTTATGTTGTATCGCATAAATATGTTTACGTGAACATCAAGTTAGTGATGAAATATTTAATGAATACGTACATGATGATATGGTTGATGATGAAAATGATGAACAATCATTTCAGAGTTACAAAGTCATGTGTTTTGTCTACTTCACGATATATGAAATGATACTTTTGCACTCACTCTAAACTACCACATTGCTCCAGTGTCATGGAAACCCCTTGTTATTAGTTGCAACGAAGATCCAATTGACTTATAATATAAACTTATGGTTAGTTCTGATAGTTTTTAAAACTTATGGATATAAATCATATTTTTCTAAAAGCGTGAAATATGTTTCCCAAATAATATGATCAAATAAACAGATAGTGAATTTTCACTCAAATAATACTTATCAAAAATATTTGAAAACTTATAGTCAAACACTAGCTTAGAATGATAAATAATTTGAGATAATTGTTTTTGTGACTGAGTTGTATAGATCTAAGCTATACTTTGACAATTAGGGGTTGTGTTTGTCGGAAATGAATACAATGTAGGACTATCATGCGTTCGGTTAGAAGTATTAGATAGTTTTAAAATTCTTTGTCCCGCATTTATATCGATGGAATAAGATATATACCTCATGGAATAACTTTATCCCAAAATAACTTAACCTAAAATAATTTACTACCAAAACAACTTATTTCCAATCAAACGATAAGCGTGAGTCCAATCCTTTGGCCCCACTTGCATCTTACTACTAATTTGTGTATTTGAATTAAGAGATTATAATTGAAATGCATATTATGAGTTAAGAGTACTAATTAATAACTTTTTTTACTATTATTGTCGAATGAATTATCCATCCTATAATCTTGGAAATGCTAGACAAAGAAATTAAAGTTGGTAAACTATATTTAGAACTTCTAATATAGTTGAACTAAATTGAATCAAAGTATTTTATTTATTCATTTTACTCGTCATATTTTAATTTGTACATATTTTTAAAAAGATATATTAATTAGAGTGTAATTTAATTAAATTATCCTTATTCACTACTCATCTTTACTTAATATTTCTCATTTTTGCATCATATTAATATTCCTCCATATATGTGACTAAAGATAAAATTGAAAACAAACAACTAATTATATCTTAATTTTTTTTTTTATGAAATGACAATTGTTTGAAACATTTAAGAACGAGAAGTAAAATGAAACAAAGAAAATTTTAAAAAATGTAAGTACTAACCAAACATAAGTTATTATTTAGGACATGTTTGATACGAACAAAAATATTTTTAAGAAAAATAGTTCTCTAGGTAAAAAAAAATGCAAAGGACAATTTCATTAATAGTATCACACATAAATTATGTCTTTTATAGGGATAATGCCCAAGTACCCCCTCAACCTATGCCCGAAATCTCAGAGACACACTTATACTATACTAAGGTCCTATTACCCCCCTGAACTTATTTTATTAATAATTTTTTACCCCTTTTTAGCTTACGTGACACTATTTTGTGGATCTAACGATGGTTGACTTTTTTTTTCGAACTAGTGCCACGTAGGCTAAAAAGGGATAGAAAATTACATATAAAATAAATTCAGGAGGGTAATAGGACTTTAGTATAGTATAAGTGTGTCTTTAGGTTTTCGGGCATAGATTGAGGGGGTACTTGGATATTTTTCCAATTTTATACTATCCAACATATCTTCTGAATTCAGATATTTTAAGAAGTTAATAGATATTGAAAATATGCTTGTAATGTCTCCCACTAGGCCTATAGCTGTCAAAAAAAGATAATAGGCAAAATTAAAATAAATATAGAAAATTAGAAAAGTATTAAGAGAATGTTATAGATAATTGAAGAACATAGTTCAAGAATTTTTAAACAAAAAAAGCGGGGTAGAGATGGGAAAAAGTATAGACAATAAAGTTGTTTTTCCACAATAACTAATAAAATATTTTAGTCAACTCTTTTATTGTATTTTCTAGAGACCAGTTAATTAAAAATAAGAAATTTGAAGTATTACATGCTGAATATCCTCTATAAGAGAGTAATAAAAATTTTGAAGAAGTTCGACTTGCTATAATTATTATTATCCATAAATTTCCTTTTTCTTTCACTCGATTTCTGCTGTTGACTTCGAAAGTTAAAATTTTCTCCTTATTTTTTATATTTATTTTCGTCTCAATCTGAATTTATGCCTATGCATATCATTTCCGTCATAATATTGGGTGGTTCTGAATTTCAATTATACTAAGTTTTATAATATAGTGTTTGGTAGCTGTATAATCCCCTTTTCATATGATAAATAACTAATTTGTTTTTCCATAATGTATTTTAAGTAGGTATTGAAACTAAACCTTTTATTTATTGATTGGTTTCTCTCACCCGTAAGAATGACTAAATTGATGAAACATATAATATTCTCCGATGAAAATCAGGAATTGATTCCTTCTATCAACACCATTTTGATAAAATTCGTTTTGTCTAGTGTAATTTATATCTCCTATAATATCGTTTGTGACAGCATAAAAAAAATTTCTAAATAAAAAGATATATGAGACTTGGTTTCAGCCTAAAAGTAGATTATAAACATACTGATTGGGCTTACATGTTTGGAAGAAGTGCACTCCATGTCGTATTTTATTATTCTGATTTTTCTAAAACACACGTTGTTATCACTTATCACCAATCCAACTGAATTAATTATGTCTAACAAAAAGTAGGTCTCTTTTTTGTATAATTGAATAATACTATAGCCCAATTTGATTGGTGAATAATACTACAGACATACCATATTTGATTATTTCCTTTTTTTCAAGGACTAGAGCAATAAAGGTACGCGTTAAAATAGTATAAACCCAAGAGTATGAAGAAAGTAGGATGTACGCAGACATTACTACCTTTGTAGGGTGGAGAGATTGTTTCTAGTTGACCCATAGATTTCCCATCTATATCCAATCCCAACGAGAATAGGAGCGAGTCGCTTCCGGCCTGTCTTGTAGTCGTAGTCAAGTCGATATCTTACTTACCTGATGAAAGAAGATATCTCAAGATGTTCATGATATCATCTTCAATGATAAACCAACGTTATCTAAAGAATTTCAAAATTAAATCCATGACAAGTATTGACAACTTCTAACTTAACTCAGCAAAGTTACAACAAAGACAGATAACATATTTTTGCATCGGTTTATCGAGGCGAAACCACAAATTTGTACAGCAAGTAAAGAGAGTTATCTAGTTTTGAGATTCTGCTTCTTCCTTCCTCTCTATCAGTTTGATAAAATTGTAAACTATTGTCTTGCCTTCACTTGTGATGATGCTCTCCGGATGGAATTGTACCCCCTGAGAATTAACCAAGCAAGAAGCAAACGAGTGATCAAATTCAAGTCGAGTTAGTTCAAAGATACTCGATTTTGGGGCCAATATTTAAGTTACGAATTCTAACTTCAGACAAAATGTTTGAAGTTTCATATGGCTAAGTTTAGGCGTTTTTGCATGAAGTTCAAGGACTTTTGCATGTGGATGAAGGACTCGCCTGAAGTTCATGCACATATAACTAAAGTTCAACCATTTTTGCCTGAACTGTAACTTCAGACATTTTGATTGAAACACAGCATGTCGAAAGTTGGTCCTAAGTGAGTAGATGTGTAAAAATTCTAAAAACTGGGTATAGATTAAATAGAAGTGTCGAAAAAAGGTATCCCGTGAGATTTTTACAGTAGAAGTATATAATTTTCTTTCCAACAAGTATAATGTTGCGAATCCAGAGTTAAGTCTGAACAAAGTTGGTCCTAAGTGAGTAGATGTGTAAAAATTCTAAAAACTGGGTATAGATTAAATAGAAGTGTCGAAAAAAGGTATCCCGTGAGATTTTTACAGTAGAAGTATACAATTTTCTTTCCAACAAGTATAATGTTGCGAATCCAGAGTTAAGTCTGAACAAACTTATCGATAACTTTCTTCCTTCATTAGTTCATATCACCATTAAGAAATTCTCTAAATATGAATCTCTCCACCAGGTCATAGATAGCGCAGAGCAATGAATCCATAGCGGAGTGATAACAATGCTAACTTTGTTCATAAAGGATGGAGGTTGTTACCTGAATGTGTCTATAAACTTTGTGACGAGCAGCCATTACAAGACCATCTTCTGTCCATGCAGTTATCTCTAGGGCGTCTTTGGGGAAAGTGTCCTTGTCTATTACCAGGCTGTGGTATCTACCAGCTGTGAATGGGCTGAAATGAAAAAGGTATTATCAAAATGTCAACATAAATATGACTAAGCTTTTAGAAGACCACAGATTAAACAATCTGCAATGGATAGACATGGATCTCTATAGTAGTTTTATATGTGCTCACTTGTAGACGTGCTCCAACCAGACAATTCTGACATCCATAACATATTATTAGTCTTACCATGATAATTATAGGGTGATGAAGAGTTCTACCTACATTAAGATAGTGGTAGTGGCTCCGATATTTGCTAGACTTAATATATACAAGGTCAAAACAAAATTCAACTGAAGTAATTAAGTGGGTGGAAGTGAATGAGTAGTTGATGAGAAAATATTACAAGCATACAAGTGAGGGAAGATCCCAGCAAATTGGAACTGCGCATGACACTTGCATGATCAACGTGCTTCCACATGTCCCAACACTTAAACTCTTTCATTTTTGTATTAGGTCAACATCAACTATTCTATAAAATGGACATGATTCTTTAGCTAAACATAGGTGGAGCTAGAGTTTTAGCTGTGGGTTCGGCAAAACCCGCTAACTTTGGCCAAAATCATGGATTTGAATTAAGAAATCCCCTCCTCAAGATAGGAATTAAGTCTGTGTGCACTCTACCCTCCCCAGACGCAGCATGCTTATGGGACTACGCTGGTTAGTTGCTGTTGCACTAAGAAACCCATTCAACATGTATAAATAATTTATCAAGAATGCAGTAAGTTAATCCTTTTCTAAAATCCAGAACACAAAATCAAAACTCTGGTCTACCTATGTTGCCACATATGTCAAAGATTTTTCGTCAATATTGCTTGAGACAAACACTAAATAGTAAACGCAGAAAAAACTTGCACTTATGTGAGACCATAACACTAAAGAGAGCAGGCATAGATACATGCTTAATTGAATGAACGAGCCTACACTGTAAATTACAAAAATTGCACCTCGACTTACGAAGAGTGTCAGCATCATTTAAATATGATAGCCTGCTTTCAAAAGTTTGACTTGGAATTAAAAAAGAAAGGAGGTGAATCAGGAAAGAAATGACCTAAGAGGCAATCTGGTCAAAGAGGAAAGAAGCTTTGGATAAATGCTAACCGAAATTGACATAATTAAGTTCAATCCCAACTCTGGAAGTATCTTCAAAATCTTCTCTTAGTAACAAAGAAAAACTATATCCAAGAAAAAGAAAAATCGCTAAAAGGAAAGAAATTTCCAGCTCTTGTCAAAGCCGTCCCCCAAGGCCTCCAATCTTGGATCTAAAACCAGCTCCTTGAGTTCAACTACTCATCGTTCTGGAAGAAAAGCTATTTCTTCCTTAGGGACGCCTCTGAATCAGGCGATGATCAATAAAACAACACTAGTGTCGATTCTTCCATAAACCATAACTACCTCTCCCCTAGGCCTAAGCATCTATCCTACCAGCCAAATAGGTGTTGGGGGATCTTTCTTCACCAAGAAAGCTTGAGAAGATATGACAATGGTGCTATAAGATTCAATCAAGGCAGTCCTCTTGATTCTGAGGAATCTAATGATAATCAAGGGTCACTGCAGCAAGCTCAAGACTCCTCAAATCTGCCAGAAAACCAAGATTTGGGGGGGTGGGGGTGGGGTTGAGGGCGATAAAGAAATGTAACTCATATTTATGAACGAATTTCATGGCTACTTCAGGCACCGACCACGTGATTCACAAGAACATCTTTGGAGCTGATCTTCAAGAAATTTATGGGAGAGGAAGTACCTGATTACACACCTCGGGATGGAGGTACATTTAAGCTGACACTTCAATTTTAGGAGGTTTACCCCAACAAACCTTTAATGGTGCAGTTTATCTCCAGTAGCCTAAGTAACATTCAATTATCTTCCTCTCCCACTCTTCACATAGTCCTAGTCCATTGAAAAGGTAAAACTTTCAATTTTAAGCTTAGGTTGTTTATTTAGTTTCTCTTGGGAATTTTCTAGAAAGTGGTGCTAAGACTAGTAATATCAACAAGGGGTTATATCAATTCAGAGATTTTTTAAAATTAGCTATCATTAGAATTGCATTATGCACACCATGAGCTGAGAAGGAAGTTAGTTCCCTAGTCTTTTTGATATCCCACATTGGGCCCAACATTCGGCATCACCTTCAGTACCCATTTTGAAATTCCTGGTAATGCACTCTCCCTCTGTATTATCCTATCCTGCCCTTCACCACCAGTAGGCCACTCATATATCCTGTGAAGATATTCCTCAATCTTCTATTATTCCTAATCCTTATTGCTAGTCTAAATTTTGTGCCATGCCGAGGGTCTATCGGGGACACCCTCTCTACCCCAGAAGCTAGGGTAAAGTCCCTGGACATCCAACCCTCCCCATACCCCACTTGTGGGATTACACTAGGTATGTTTTTGTTGAAATGCATTCTGGAACGACCAGAGTATTCTCAAAGTGGTTTTCTGGAGTTGAGTTGGAGAGAGACTAATTATGAACTTGCGACTGTCAAGTTTGTTGAAGATATTGTGGGGTTCTTGAAGGTGGAAACTGTCGAACTGGAAGGGGTTGAATTACAGATATTGATATCGACAGCACAGACGTTGTTACCCAGAGTGTACAAGGTGATGGAGTGGAGGAAACCACACCAAAAGCTGGTGGTGAAGTTACTAGTTCCAGTAAAGTGGATAAAGAAGAGCTTGAAGGTCCTGACACCAGATGACCAGATGAAAGAGGTCAAGAGTCTTGATATGAAGGATCCTAGTCAAGAGAACCAGAGACCATCAAACCTTGAAGCATTGTGCTTGATGAGCTTTCACATACTTGTGCAAACAAATGAGCTGTGAACTCTAACAAGCTACAAATTTGAGCAAGCAGAAGCTGACTACAAGGTTGAGCAGGTCGAGAAAACCTCAAAGGAAATCAACACAGAAGACAAATTATCAAAGACACAATTAATAGGACAAGAAGAAATAACTGGAGGTTGGAAGATCGTGACGCAGAACTTGAAACCTGCAGTTTGGGCATTGAAATAGAATCGGAGAATGAAGTCCCAGAAATTTGACAATATAACGCAGTTATCACTGGAGTTTCTGCAGATTTACTGCTTTTGGCATCTCTGGTTGTGATCTATGTTTCAAGGAAAGCAAGAACTTTATTGAATTTCCTCCAGCGGGATGCTCAACCCAGTTATTGCTAGTGTTGAAGGAGAACTCACAGAGAGACACTGAAACTTCCGATGTGAGGTTTAATCTTTGCACAAACCATTGGCATTGGATGGTCGCTCAAAAATTTAAAGCAAACCACCCGAGTATTTCTATACCAGACTGAAAATTTTGAGTTCAGACACTTCGCATACTACTGTCAATGCTCAAGTAGGACACCTTGAGAGAAACCCACCATTGAATCCATTCTAAAAGCTTGACTTTTGCTGGTCCAAACTCCAAAGAAAGAAACATCAGAAGAGATTAGCCACATAAGCACACTGAAGATTGAACGGCTTGGGGTGTCGGTGAAATCATCAGATTTCTTATTGGCTATAATGGGAAAAATAGGAAAAACAGCACGATTGAAGCAGCAGCGTGAAACACTAATTAATCTTAAAGGCAAAGCACCACAGCCCCTTCCTGTTTAACCACCTACTCAGCCATGTATCTCTGAAGTCAGGCAGAGAAAGATGGTCATGAAGTCAAGAAGGTGGTGTTGACAACCCCAGTCACACAATCAAGCTGAATGTGAGATTGTGCTGCCATGTCATTGAGTATCTAATATACAGGCTTTTGTTAGCCTAGCGGAAAGCCGGAAACACCTTCTTTGTTGTTTTGTAGTCTTTGAACTTCACCAAATCAAATTGTACAGGGTGATCTAGCACGGATCAAGTGCAAACAACTAATTTGCAATCCGCAGGAATGATCTTAACTTTCGATGGAAAAATTCACTTATGTTGATACAGAAATAATCTGAAAGACCAAATCGTAATTTGTTAAAACAAGTTTCTATCAATTATCAGATAGACAAGAGCTTACTTTGATAGCCCTGCAAATAAACCATCTTCCCCGCCTTCGTTATAATATACAGGGGAGCTTTTCCCGTGCATCACCCCATATGGAGATCGCACAATTTTTCCTGCAATGGGATAAATTCACATTAAGGAGGATTAAGTGTGATGAATACACAATTGAATAGTTGAATAAAAAGAATGAAGAAAGTAGAGCTTTTGGTCGTCAACTTAACAATACCCAAAACTTTACCTTTTCAACTGTTCTTTTGCACAACTCACTAGTTCTCTTTAAAGCATTATGATTTTTTACTAGTGTGCTATGTTTCTGCTCTAGCTAGTCAGCAACAGAAAATTTATGCTCTGAACAGGTCCTCATTCAAGACACTAGAGGACTAATTTCAGTCTTAAAAGTGAACTTCCAGTAAATGAAGGTCTATATTGTGTTCAGTTCCTTTTCCATTTTTGGAAGGGGCATAAATATGTTTCCAAGAGACATCCTATTAGGAGTACAATGCAGAAGTCACAGAGGACTTCTTATTTTTGGTATAGAGAGGAAGGGGTAGAAGAAGCTGCACAAATTTTGGATTTTATAGGCTCTTGTAATCTATTAGCCTTTTTGTTTTTTTAACCAATTTTTGGAGGTCTCCAGCATATCCTTAATGCTGATGAATACAATATTATCTTTATCAAAAAGAAAAAGATAATTGTGATTTAAGAGGAAACAAATTGAAGGTGTTTGATTGACCTCTTTTCAGATTATTCATATATGGTAATTGCTACGAACAGGAGGGAACACTGAAATATCTAACAGTTTTTAATGGTTCAATTGGACAAAATGAATTTCAGATCATTTATTGACATTAAGTTCGTAAAAGAACCAAATTCTTATTGGTGATTATTTATATTCAATTATTTTAATATAAATAATCACCAACAAGAATTTGGTTCTTTTTACAAACTTGATGTCAATAAATGCATCTGAAATTCATTTTGTCCAATTGAACCTTTAAAATCGTTACATATTTCAGTGTTCCCTCCGTCCGTAGCCATTACCATACATGGAATAACCTGAAAAGAGGTCAATCAAACACCTTCAATTTGTTCCCTCTTAAATCACAGAACCTTTAACAAGTTTTCTTTTTTTTAAAAAAAAAGAAGATAATTTTGTATTCATCAACATTAAGGATATGCTGGAGACCTCCAAAAATTGGTTTTCAACAAGAGACGAAACAAAAAGGCTAATAGAATACAAAGAGCCTATAAAGTCCAAAATTTGTGCAGCTTCTTCCATCCCTTCCTCTTTACACCAAAAATAAGAAGTAGGAGTACTCCTAACAGGATGTCTATTGCCACTCCCTTTCCTTTTATCTCCTTCCAAGATTGTCCTTTTGATCATATGGAACTGCTGCATTGTACTCCTAATAGGATGTATCTTAATGCTTATATTTTAAAATTAAGAAGTTGTTGGATCCACTAGGTGATATATATATCCTATAACACATATCCATATAAACCTTCCATGATAAGTGTATGTTATAACCATGCCATCAAGAAGCTAAGTTGCTCGGACACAGGTGCGGGTGTCCGATACGGATGTTGATCTAGAGGTCGGATTCTCTGTGACCTAAATTTAAAATTCGGGGATATGGAATCATGTGTAGATACAGATGGGGGAATTCAACTAAAAGTAGAATTATAAACCTAAATTATGAGAGATTATGTTGAAAGCTCGAGGACAAAATCATGATCAAGAGGACAATCTTGGAAAGAGATAAAAGGAAAGGGGTGGCAATAGAAATTTGTATATACAAGGTATTTCATTTTCTTCAATTTCATTGTATTATAACGATTAAACACTAGATTTTTGGAGCAAATGCATATCCTGTGGGAATTATGGTAGATTGTACCAAAAGTTGCATATATTGCTTCAATCTAAAACAAGCATTTGGTTTTAACTACTACTATGCCTCAATCTCAAGCTAATTGAGGTAGGCAATATAATTGTTCATTATCTACTTCGCTCCATTTGAAATGTACTTTGTATCGTGAGTTCATCATAAATTAACTAGTCACTAGTTTTACACTAGTTGTTATCCTATCGCAACACTCTTCCCTTATCCGGGTTTGGGAATGGCAATATGAGCAAACTCCTATACGCGATGATGTGTGTGTCCTTTGACATGGATGAATCCTTGTTTATAATTATACCTTTAGACAATACCCTTGTTGATTGAAAAGAAAAAAAATATGTTATTTGCTACTCCATACTTATGCTATTCGTCTCTTCTTCTTTTTGGATAAGTAAAGGTAATCCTAAGGTAAGTATTACTAAAACTGGCACCAAGACAGATCCGTGTGTGTAAGAATATCTACTCATGTAATTTATTTTGGTGTTAGTTCCATAATCACCATCTATCATTATTATTTTGAATAATTTTTAAGACAATTATTGTTCTTGTTTCTTTATTTGTATAATCAACTATTTGGGTGTAAAACAAGAAAGCCTGAAAAAAGAATTCAATTAAAATGTCCTCCTTCCTATAAGTTGCACAATTTTACACTCATTGAAAAAGAAAAGGACAAAAACTCATTTAAGATGCGGATTCTATTTATAGTACCATTTAAAATCTTTTAATCTAGATTCGATTATACAGATATATAAGAAATAGTATAAATGAACAAACACCTAAAACCAAACAAAGATGCATTAAATAGCATAACCTTATCTATTAGAGTCATAATCTATCTTTGAGGAGGAGAACTACTACAATAACATCAAGGTTACTATTTTCTTTTAGGTGCTTTCAAGTATAAATAATGCCAACATTACTATAAAAGTTCAAAATATAAGAAATGAAAAGAGAAACCAAACAAAACCAAATTTTGCGATGTAATTACTTTACCTAATACCTCAAAACTGAAGATACTTAAGTGTGTACATATGGGTACATATCTGACGATTTACAGAAGCATCTACCATTCTTCACAATGTATATTTTTTTTCATAACCACCATTCTTCACAATGTACATTTTCTTGACAACCACCATTCTTCACAATATTTTTTTTATAACCACCATTCTTCAAAATGTCTATATATATATATATAATTCACGTGACAATAAACTTTTCTGGGATAAAATCCTGGCGACGTCTGATAATGCAGAGGGACAATGAGGTACCTACCATGTCCCACTACCACAGGTACCTGGTAATTCTATCCACCAAGCCTTAAAAAGATAAAAAGAAATGACCCAATTTTTTAAAGAACTTGAAAAGCTATTTTCTTTTTATTTTCAAATTTAAGAGAAGCAAATTCATAAGATAGGACAAACTAATTGAGAAACAAAAGCACCAAATATAGTTGATTCAAAAACAAACCTCCAAAAGCCTCTCCCATGCATTGCAAACCCATACAAACACCAAATAACGGAATTGTTGGTCCAAGTTCCAGTACAGTTTGCAATGATATGCCTGAATCTTGAGGTGTACCTATTCCCAGAATAAAATAAGATTGAAAGTACTGATCTTTCCATACATTCTATATATGTGAAACTGGTAACTTGATATATTTGGGTGAGTCTTCCTACCTGGTCCAGGTGATATTAGTATTCCCCTTGGATTTTTCCTACAAAATATTTTTTTCAAAAAACAACATAGTATTAACTTAATCAGGTCTGCGGAGTAAAATAAAGAACACTAATTGCTTGCCAGGTCTAAACAAAAACACAAAATCCCCTTAAATTTTCAACCAATAAAAAAATCATATTATCTTTGCAATTAAATTTACTTTATAGCCTTTATCTCATAATGATTCACCAATATCAATAAACATTTTATTCACAGATCAGTTCCCCTCTAAATCATATGAAACTAACCTGATGAAGAAAAAAATGGATCTTTTGCCTTAGAAATGGACCTAGTATGGTGCACATGCATCTCATCTATGAAAAAGTTAGCAAATCATCTGTCCTTTTTTCTTTTCTTATCTATAATGTTAATTAAAAGAGAGGAGGCTGTTGGTGTAATTCAACTAGGGAGCTGCTTATCACCACTCTAACTAACGAGTAAAGAAAAACGAGCTAAAAATAAGCATTTGATTAATGAGTAATCTTTTTTCCTTTATACTTCCACTCTCAAACCATTGCATTATATTATTATAATTATTTTTCACTATCTTCTGTTAGATTTACTAAAATAAGATTATGCACCCAAGAAATTACAGCTCATCAGAATTGATAATTATGCAGTTATCATCCAGACATACAATTTCTAACACACTCAATGTGCAACCTCAAATTTTCAGTTCTGCGGCAGTCTCCATCTCTACCAATAGATTTATTCAATTTGAATGTAATCATGGCAGCGAATTCAGAAAATACAAAAGACCAATCAAAATTAGAGAACGAGTGTGCAGCCTTTTTGATGAAATAAGAAGGATATCATTAACAAAAAAACATCAAGAAGAGCAAGCATTACAAAGAGGTTATCATCTCTCAGGAAGCAACAAAGTTATCACCCCTGTCACGTATCCAACCTTAATCTAACGATCATGAGTTAACTAGAGAAGATAGAAGTGCTGAAACCAAAGGTATCAAAATATAAATTTTATAGAATTCAAGTCTAACATAAAGGTGGATGATCCCCATACCAGCATGGTGAAGGTGAATTTGTTACTATACTACAACAGCTGGACCAAAAAAAAATTCTATAAACAATAACTAACTTTGTAACTTACTTCTTCAGCTCATCCACAGTGAGCTCGTCGTTTCGATAAACCTCAAAACTGCATCCAAGCTCTCCCATATACTACGGGGAAAACAAGAGTAAGTTAAGAAACACCTTAAATACAATTGTCCGCAATTATCAATATTCCAAAATCAATATCAAACTCCAACTTCAATAGACTTCAAACTATTAACAAAAATGAAGCGACAAACTAAGAAAGTAATTGGTTTTCTAACTTATTCAGCAGATGCAATAATTCTATTTCTAAAATCAGTTCAATTCTCAAGCTTCTAAATACTTCAAAATCACAAAACTCAAAGCAGAATAGTCAAGAAAAACTAAGTTAATTTGGTACATTTCTCAATAACAACATACGCAGCGTAATCCCACAAGAGATAGAAGTTATTTCGGATACACCCTCACCTATTCTGTACATTTCTCAATGTTATACATTTTGAAGATTCATTATAATTCCATGAATAAAACAAAACGAATAAAAGGAATACTAAAACAACAATCTCCACATTTCACTATATTCAAAATTCAATTCTCTGATTCAAACTTCGAAAAATTGAGCATACCTGACAGAGATTATAAGTGAAGCTATCATAATTATCAATAACAATAATCGGACTCTTATTCCGTTTAACATCATCCGATAACTCAACACAAGTAGCTGAACTGTTCTGCGATACAGCAAGCGGCTTCACCTCGAGCCGCTTTGTGCTTCTCATTCGGAGAAACGAGCCTCCGGAGCCGGAGAGAATTGGAAAATCTAGGGTTTTTTGGGGCGAGAGAAATGTGTTTTTGCCATTGATGTGAACGATGGCGGATTGTGAAGAGACATGAGGGGTAACAATTCCGGCCATGAGAGATTGTGGAGAGAATGAAATGTCCTCGTTCGAGGCTGTGATTGGACGCCGTCGATCTACAACAGCGGTGGCGGTGGCGGTGGCGGTGGCGGTGACGGTGGCGACGGCGGCAGCGGTGAAGTGAGGTGGAAGTGTTTTCCGAAGACAGCGGGAGAGTGTTTATCTATGGCACAACCAAAATTAGAAAATCTGATTATTTTAATTTTTTTTAAAAAAAATAAACAGTAATTTCAATACTTCACATTTTACAGAAATACAAATATCAAAAATTATAAAATTAAATAATATTTTTATATATTTTATAAAAAATCATTTTTTTCTTACTTTATTAAACAGCTGTAATAATAATAATAATGCTTGAGCTAAAATTTATTTTTTTCTTACTTTATTAAACAGCTGTAATAATAATAATAATGCTTGAGCTAAAATTTAGCAATTTCCTTTCAAAATTCTTTTAATTATTCACACAAATTATTTATTTAATCATTTATTTCAAAAAAAAAAAAACTTAGAATAACTAATGCACAACATTTAGGAATGTAGTTGAATAATAAAGGCATCCGACAAAGAAATATAATTTTTTTATGTAAACATATTATTTATTCGATTAATTTAATACTTATTAATTTAAAGGGTGTTTTGAGATACAATGAATGTTAATTTTGATTACGTCAAAATCATTGTATCTTACTGACTTAGATATCGTATTTATTGAATTCACATAAAAAAAATATTATGCATAAATTATAATGAATGCATCAAAGTCATATATATTTACCAAATTATGTATCATATTTATCAAATTCATATAATAAATAATTTTACTAAATATAAATATAATGTATGCGTATTTTCATGGTAATATATTTTTTTGTTAAATGATTCATTATAAAATAAATTCAAGGATTCATTTTAAAGATAATATAATGTTCATTATTTTTTAATAATGAAATATTAAAAACTGTATTTGCACTAAAAACATTCAATGTATGATGATGAGAGAATAAATTATATAAGGAACATAAAAAAAAATTGAAATCATATTCAAAAATAACTTCTTATTTAAAAGGTATCACAAATTCAATAATGATATATCAAATACGTAAAATATTATGTGAGGTGTTTTACTTAAAAATTATTATTAACTATTTTTTGGTTTTAAAAATGAAAAAACATTGACTAGGTTTCGAAAAATCAATTAATCTTATTATTTAAGAAAAATCGACTTTTCGAATTACGGAGTCGCCACTTGATTTTGATAAAATCAAGAAAAATTTCAAAAGATTTAAAACAGATTAAAATCAATTGAAAAACAAAGGTTCGAAGTTCAATGTACATCCCGAGAAGGTATTAGGCCCTCGGGATGTCCGCTAACTTGCGGTTGACCGGCGATTTGACTAAATGACTTTTTAAGTAAAAAGAAAATTTATTTTAATATTTATCATTTTATTTTTTATTATTATTATTTATTTCTAAAGGGAGATATTTTGAGGGAATTAATTTAAGGAAAACTAAATTGTGATAAAAGTAAGTAAAAACAAAAATAATAAAATTTAAATAATGAAAAATGGCTACCCCTTTAGGAGATTTTTTTTAAAAAAAAAAAAATCTACCAAGATATTAAATAATTCAAACAAATAAATAATAGAGAAAGAAATATTTGAACTTGGGCTTGATTGCCCAAATTCATTCAATTGGGCTTTGGCCCACCTGTCCTAATCTAATCCTTATACTTGGGCCTTCTTTAAAACCTGCAGAAAAAAAAATGGCCTTTGGGCCTGTTAATAAAGGGGGGGTGGCTGAAGGGCCCTGGCCCAATCCTGAAAAAAGAATCACAAAGTATACACAAGTGTATACATGCTGTATACAGCATATATTTGACCCATTTGGACCTCTCAAGCCCCGCACCTATTTGAATATATATTTTCCGCTACTTTTCCCTGTATTGCCCTGCGTATTTGTACCTGTACAATTTTTAAAACTTACTTAACAAGTGTATATCGTCGCCCGATAATGTATACTAATGTATACGGGCTGCACCCTACGTCCGCATTGTTTGCCTAATTCCGAATTTTAATTAGAATAGGCGTCCCTCTACGTTCCCCTGCCAATCACATTTTTTACACATATTTATATTATATCGTGTCTGTATATCAGTGTATACAGACTGTATATCAGCCTGTTTTTCGACTTTCGAGAGTTGAAAATTCATTTTAAGCAGCGTATTTTCACTGCCATCGACCCAGATTTCGGATTAGGCCTCCTGTGCACATTTCGACCTGTATATCAGCGTATAACAGATGTATAAAACATGTATACTGCTGTATACATGTTCTTCAAATCCCTGCAACAACTTTTCCAGCAGTTTCTGCTGGTTTTCTTTCGATGCTGTACATCCTTTCAGGGGTTGGCTGACTCGGAAAAAGTGTTTTGAGCCTTTATGGCTCAACGAGAAGGTTCAAGGAATCGGAGTGAGGTCCATGAGGACTCGAGAATAGTTTTCACATGCAATCAAACAAACAAAAGAGAATTAGCACCTTGAACGATAAACTAATAGCAAGCATCTTGAACAAAACGGGGATAAAAATGAACTACTTGGAGATATGAATTAGAGGGGGAGACAAATGACTTCAAAAACATATCCAAATAAGGCTAAAAATAAAACAAGAATTCACAACAAGTAAAGAGATGGCAGTGACATGAATACTTGGACACACACTCACGCCAATTTTAAGCATAGTTAGTAATACCAAATGCGAAGCAAGTTGAGACATGACGTCATAGTCCAAATGAACTACCATTGCTTCCTCTAGCTTTGTAAATGTGACATGATCATAAGACCCAAACTCGACTTCTAAACAGTATGTTTAACAACTGCGAAAACAAACTAAACATTTGATCCATTCCAACCCATACAAATAACTCGAAGAAAGGGACAAATGAAAGTTTAGACTAGATGAACGTATAAGGAATGGCACACTTTAAGCAGCAAAGAATGCATATAAACAGGTCATAAAATGACTTCACAAGAAGCAAATAACGTAAACAAGGCTACAGCACTTTACAAATTTACTGGAGACCTTCAGAGGAAGAGAAGAAGGCGAAAGAACAGAAAGTAATACGAAACCAGCAGGCATAACCAGACAGAATCATAACGCGCAATATATTTCGAAATCGAGCAAAACTAACAGATATAACATCTCATATTCACAGCGACACGAACCAAGATTCGAAACCTATAAAGAAAACTGATAAAGAACTGGAAAATGTACCTTTTTCGGAGCAGCGAACTGGAGACGATCGAGCAGAGCAAGAACTTCCTCGACGAAAGGACATACCGAGACGGCTACGACGTTTCGACGGAACACCGCGATCGACACACTGTTAATGAAACAGAACGTTTCTCTTCTCAAAAAAAATTCGATCTCCTCCGTTCTTCTGAAACCAAACAGTGAAGCCCCAAAAGGATTTGTTTTTTTTCAAACTCAAAGTTTTCAAAAACCTAAAATTTTCAGCCACCAAAAATCCAACCCAAGTTCTGCTTTTTTCCGAATTTTTCGATGAAAAATCTCTCACCACCTTTTCTGATGAAGAAAAGGGGTATTTATAGAGGAGAAGAAATAGCCCCCCTTTTCTCCTTTTGAATTCGAAACTAAATCCCATTTAGTCAAACTTCCATGGCACAGGCGTGTTGGAGAGGACGACTACGACGTTTCGCAGACCTGCTTGACAGGGTATGGGTCTCTGTCGTCGCGTCTCGTTCAAGCAAAATAAAGGGGGAAGGGAGAAGAACGTGGGGTTGTTGGCGTTTGCAGGAAATGACGTCTGTTCCTTCTGGGACTGAGTTGACGCGAAGAAGAAGAAGGAAAAAAAGGTTTGGGTCGGGTGAGAGAAGAGAAGCTCGCGTGGGGGAGACGCGGGACAAAGGGAAGAGCGAGCGAGGGAGAGAGCACGGGGAAGGGACTGTTTTTTGAGAGCTTCCGCGCGTGGGCTTTGGGAAATAATTTGCTGGGTTTCTTCATTTGCAGGGGGATCACGTGGGGAAGGGGAAGAAGAAGGGGAAAGGGAAATGGGTCGGGTCGAAAGGGGATTGGGTTGGGTTAGTATTAAGTTAGTGTTGGGTTGAGGTAATTGGGCCTGGGAATTAATGTTGGGGCTGAAGATTAAGAGGGGTTGGGCCTGGGTAATTTTATTTTGGGAATGGGAGAGAGGAGTGGAGTGGGCTGGGGTAAAGGAATGGGTGTAAGATATACATATATACATATACATATATGTATATACATATATGTATATACGTACATATATTTATTTTCGCAAGGTTTATAAAACTAACTAACTCATACCGACGCGGGTCAAAATTGGGTGTCAACAGGTGAGTACAAAAAAAAATCATTCTCATGCACTAAAAAAGGATTAACATTCATGGCAACATCGAAATTTTTAAATGCAATAAGAAAAGTTAGAGATAAACTAGATTTAAATATTAACAAAAACAAAACACAATAAAATCATATTTTACTAAATTGTCTTAGATATACTTGTATTTTTAAAGAACTATTACTTTATAATATTAATTAAGCGATATGTTTATATAAAATTCTTCTGAAAATATATTATTCTATTATCTTATCGAAATATGTAAATTTTTTTATTAACTCAAATCGAAACTAGAAAAAAATATCATTTTATAGAAATTATTAATTTGTTAACTATTAATAGTGAGGTTTTTTATGTATTATGTCAATGTTAAATCATGTCTCATCAAAGCAAAAGTTTACCAATTGATATATATTAGTAGAAATTTAAGTATTCATATTAGATAGACAATATCTATTTTACTCACTAATTAATATATCATTAGTTGATTAATCAATTTTGCTATTTTGTTCTTTGTTTACATCAATGTACATAAAATTAATAAATTAGAAAAAAAAACATATAATATAAAAAAGCTAATATGAAAATTGTTCAAACTTCCAAAGGTTATATTAATTTTAGTAAAATAGGAAAAAATCAATTAATTCTTTTCTAGTTGAGTAGTTATATTGTATTTATTGGGATATAGATGTTAAATGTTTTTACCAATATGGAAAGGGAGCTTAATTATTTCCATTATTTAGATATATAATTTATAGGTGTTTTTATAAAGATAACAAGTCAAATTTGTTGTTATCTTTATCTTTTGTATTTTTTATTTTTTTTTACTTTTTAGCCTTAATTTTTTAATTCTATTTTTTCGGTAAATTCCTATATTAATATTCATCAATAATTGTTAATCTAATAAACAACTTTGCTATGATCATTAATTGTGAATTTACTTAGTTTTATATATTTGAAGTGATAAACTTATAGATTTTGGCATTACTTAAATAAGACTTTTATAATCGATTATTGTGTAATTTATCTTGTTTATGTATAAAGAAATATGTATATTTAGACAAATTTCAAAAGTATGTTACACTTATTATAAATTATAAAATACATAAATAATTAAATGACGTAACAATTAATATAAGTAATTGATTATCATTCCAACTAATGTGTACTTGCCTCTGTTTATGTATAAAAAAAGAAATGTGTGTATATTTAGACAAATTTTAAAAGTATATTATGCTCAATTACTTATAATAATACATAAATAATTAAATGATGTATTGATGTAACAATTATAATATAAATAATTGACTATCATTCTAACCAATGAATTAAGAAGAAGAAAAATTGGTAATGACAAGGACATCTCACAAAAGTTATATAAATTACAAACATGATTAAGAAAATATCATCTAAGTTAGTTGAGATAAATTAATAACCAATGATTTTAGAAGTGCACCACAAAGACAAATGACTAATAAAATTTACATTGAAATAGTCCTCTAATAGTGGACTTAGTCTTGTTTAGGATGATCATCTATTTATGATTACCATTAAGAAATCATAATTATGTTAGTTAAGAAAAGAAAAATGCCCAACTAGTGGGCTAGGTGGAAAGGTAGGCAAGGTGGGGAGGAAGTAGTTCGTGGATTGATCGGTTCAGTTCGATTTAATTTTTATATTTATTGATTCCATTTATCAATTATTAATAGTTAGCGATTTGATTGTATTTTTGGGGAAAAAGATAAAGATATCGTTGAACTATCGTAAATTGTATACGATATACTCTGCATACTTTAGGGACATTGGTGTCCCTGTCGTAAAAAAACTAGAATATATGTACTATTTTATGCTAACAGACATACACATGTCATAATCTTATCCATTAAACCGACATCAGATCGATTGGTATGATTGTGCCACTTGTTCTTATTTTGTCTTCTGTTAGACTAAAGGGCATATATACTCTAATTTTTTACGGCAGGGGCCTCAATGTCCCTAAAGTATAACAAAGAGTATCTGCATGCGCATTTACGATAGTTCGAGGATAAATTTATTCATTTTTCCTATATTTTTAATGACAAGGAAATCCGTGATCGTTACCATTTGGGTGCACACAGGATAAAACCTTCACTCCCAGAGGCGGAGCCACCTTGTACCAAGAATGTTCATCCAAACTCCCATTCGGCGGAAAAATTATATTATTTTACATAGTTAAATAAATTCTTTATGTGTATAGTAGATGTCGAACCCCTTCAGCTACTTCGTGTGTCTATTTCTACATATCTTGAATCCGCTTATTGAAATTTCTGACTCTGCCACTGTCTGCTCTTATACAATAACTCGCAAAATCATTAGAGAGGTAACCCGCACAAGGCAAGCTAGACCAATAAGACAAACCCCCTTGTTTTCGCTGGCAAGAGGTTTCAAACATGACACCTCCACCGGTCCAAACCACTAGACCACCCCGAAAGATCTTCGAGGTCTGATTACTAGTTATCAGTTTAACCGTTAACTAATTTTAGGTGTACGCACTCCGACTCTTTAGAACCGCCTCTAGTTGGGACTTGGGCGGGGTGTTGGGGGGGGCGGGGGGGGGGGCTCTAAAGAGTATATAAATGTATAGTATTCTATTTCAAGAAAAAGTTGAAATCTTCTCCCTCCTTAAATTTTATTCTTTTCTTTGAACTCATAAACATGTCACCACATCTTTCTCCGTTTTCATCGCATTCTTTTCTTTAAAAAATCCATTTTTTAAAATCACTAAATACATATTCATAGATCCCAAAAAAATGACAAATTAAACAAGCATGAAAAACCCCTCACTTCAGTTTTTTCTTCTTCACTTTATATGAAAAGACTCAATTTTTTTACCCTTATAATCTAAATCTTTTTGCATATCTAGTTTGGTGATCCAATACCCTTTTGGCTTTTAGTTTGTTTTTTCAATTTTTTCTTGTTCACTTTGTATTAAAGACTCAATTTTTTTGTTCACTTTGTATTAAAGACTCGTTTTTATCCGTGTAATATGAATCTTTTTGCATTTCTGGTTTAGTGATTCAATACCCTTTTGGCTTATTTTATCTTTTTTTTTTCCAATTTTTTCTAGTTCACTTTGTATCAAGACTCATTTTTTATCCTTGTAATATGAAGTTTTTTGCATATGGTTGGTGATCCAATACCTTTTGGATTTTTGTTTCATCAATTCTTTTTCTTGTTCAGTTTGTATCAAGACTCTTTCTTTTTTTAATCATTATAATATGAATCTTTTTGCATATCTTGTTTGGTGATTTAATACCATTTTGGTTTATGTTTCAATTTTTTCTTATTCACTTTGTATCGAGACTCATTTTTTATCCTTGTAATCTGAGTTCATTTGCATATGTTGTTTAAATTATCCAGTACCCTTTTGTATTGTGGTTTATATTTATGCTTTTCATGAGGCTATTCATCATTACTCCATTTTATTTTTTTGTTTGACTTTCTATCAAGACTCAATTTTTATCCATCTGAATCTGTTTTTGTATAATCTTGTTTAATGTTCCAATACCCTTTTGGCTTTTGTTTCATCTTTATGCTTTGATGAGGCTATTACGACGATGTACGAGGATTTCTATCCTCTGTTTGCTTGCTATTTCAGTATTCACTCCTGTTTTCTTGCTTTCATTTAGGCTCAAAAACCTTAACACTGATGGTATAATATTTTACTTCTTATTGTTACTTTTCGATCTTTGAGGTCGTAGTTTAATCTGACTATTGTTTCTGTATTCAATTTGTGTGCAGCATCTAAAGACTTTGTTGAAGACTTATCGATTCTTGTAAGTTTTTGGCTTGTTTAGTTCAATGTGTTTTATATTGTTTCTACTTGTGATTTGTTGACTATTGTTGTTGTTCCTGCTCATTCAAGCAACTTATAAAGAAAGAAAGGAAGAACATAAGCTTTTGTATAGTTTAAGTTTATTATGCATCTTTGACACCACATCATTGAAAGAAGAACAAAAAAAAGCTTTTGTATAGTTAAGTTCATTTATTTATCTTTGGCACCATATATTGGAAACATCAAGGTGAGATAGGTAATTTTCTTTACCTATGTTGCCCGGACTCTTCAAAACATGTAGAATCTTCCAAAAGTAGTGTATGTTCGGAGAATCTAACACGTGTTACGTTTCCCTCATTTCCCTGATCCTGTGAAAAGAAAACAACTAAGGAGGGG